AAATAAGAATAAACCTCCTCAAATATGCTCCAAACAAGTCATTCATCAAAGCTTGAAAAGTAAATGGGGCATTAGTAAGGCCAAAAGGCATAACTTTAAATTCATAGTGCCCTTGATGAGTTCTAAAAGCAGTTTTATGGATATCCTCATCTTTAATTCGAATTTGCCAATACCCAGATCTCAAATCAATCTTTGAAAAGAATTTAGCCCCATGTAATTCATCTAGTAAGTCTTCTTCTATAGGAATAGCAAATTTATTCTTAACTGTATAAGAGTTAAGGTGCCTATAGTCCACAAAACCTCCAAGTTCCATCCTTTTTTCTAATAAGTAAACAATGAGAAGCAAAAGGGCTCTTACTTACTTGTATGATAGATGAGGATAACATATAAGCAATCTGTTTTTCAACTTCAATCTTGTGATGATGAGCAAATCTATAGGGTCTTAGATTGACTGGTTGTGTCCCCTGTTTAAGAACAATGGCATGATCATGTTTTCTGCTAGGAGGCATTCCCTTAGGTTCCTCAGACACTTCCTTGAATTCTTCTAATAAATCTTGTAAAGGTAAAGGAATTTTTCTTTCCTCCACTTCAGCATTCAACAAATAGATTTCCCCATTCACTTCATATCTTTTTCAACTAACTTCTGCAATTTTTCCCCTGAGATGGGTTTAATGATTGGTAATTTATGAGTTCCTCTAATCAGAACAGTTGTCCATCCTTTTCAAAACTAATTGTCTTGGCCTTGAAATCCATCATTATAGGACTAAACTCTTTCATCCAGTCTACTCCCAATATCATATCATTTCCCCCTTAAGACAAAACTATGAAATCATGCTGAAATTCATAGCCTTGCATCTTCCAATTCACTTTATTGCTTTTGGCAGTACTGAATAGCTTCTCCCCATTAGCTACTGTAATCACTAATGGTTGAGTCTGAACAAGTTCCTCTCCTTCTTTTGCCCATTTAGGTGTCACAAAACTATATGTGCTTCCACTATCAATTAGCACATTAAGTGGTTTTTCTCTGATAAAACCCTGAATTCTCAAGGTAGTGTGCCCTACATTACCTGTAATAGCATTGATAGAAATTTCCAGGGCTTCTTTAGCTACATCATTCCCTTCTCTATTTTCTCTTCTGTCAATTCCTGATCAGCATAATCTTCTTCCTCTTCCATACTGTTCAACTTCCTAACTTTGCATTGATGTCCAGGAGCAAATTTTTCCCTATATTTAAAACACAAATTATTTGCTCTTCTATATTCAGTAAACTCTGCCTTGTATTTGAATTAGGAAGAGTTGTCTTAGGCTGCAAACTTTTAGTCCCACTGTTCTGTTGACCACTTGAAGAAGTATAAGGAATTTTTTTTTGAGAATATTTGTACTTCTTTCCTTCTATCTCATTAGCCAACTCATAAAGTTTGGCCTGCTTGTAAGCTTCAGACAAATTTCTGGGCTCCAACACTTTCACCTTATGTTTTAATTCCTCCTTAAGACCACTAATGAAGTTGGAAACAAAATAATCCTCCCCTAAATGTATATGTTGCTGTAGCAAATAGAGTCTTAACTCTTCAAACTTTTCTTGATACTCTTCTACACTACCCTTCTGCATTAACTTATTAAATTCTTCAATGATATCTGAATAGTTTCTGTCAAAAAATCTATGACACAAATCAGCCTCAAATTCATGCCAAGTCACTATGCTTCTGCATAATATAGCCATCAAACCAGGTCTCAGCCTTTCCCATCAAATACATTGCAGCCACATCTAGTTTCTATTCCTCAAGAACTCCCAAAAGATTAAAATATTTTTGGCATTTTCTAACCCATCATCTGGGATTACTACCATCAAACATTGTAGTTCTAATTTAGGTCGAGGTAAAATAGGCCTAGAACTCCCAAATAAATCCTTAATGTCTACTTTAATCTCACTAGAACTGCCCATAATATTTTCTTCTTACAATTTTTGATTAAAAGGTAGAGGACCAATAAACCTCACAGGTTTAGCAGCTAATATCCCCGGTTCATTAGGTTTAAAGTATACTTCTCATGCTCACTCAGAACCATAACTAAACATTGTTGCTTACCTTCACCTTTGTTTTGCTTTTCAGTTGCTGGTGGTTGACTCCTTGCTAACTGAGGTGAGTCTTTTTCCTCAGCTGCCTGATTGACTAGCTGTAGGATTCTCTGCAAATAGCCCCTGTTCTCAGTCATCCCTTCCTCCAAGGTTTGTATCATTCCCTCAAGCTTGCTTTCTGCTCAACCCACCAAGATGGTAAGTTCTCTTCCTTCACTTCTACTGCTTGTTCCGATACCTCAATGGTTTCAGTCTTTTGCATCTTTCTTGTATTTCCCAACTTGAAAAATGGTTTTGGATCATAAAACTTAGTTCTGATTACCAATTTGTTATGATTTAGGATGGAATTTGTAGAAGAATATTTAGGGATTTAAGAAAATAGAGAGAATAGGTTACAGAAAACTTGTATTTCATTAATAAGATTATCCCTCAAGGGTTTTGGTATATATATGAACAGTACCACCAGTTGTCAGAACAACAAATCTAACAAATTAACTACCTCAAATGCTGACTCACCATTCATCATTCTACTCCTCTGTTTGGATTCGTACATACCCAACCCACAACTTATAAGCCTCCTGATATCTTAAGTGGGTCTAAGTAAACTAGAGCCCAATTAGCCCACTGACTCATTCCCAATAGCGTGAATCCCTCTCTCGTTATGACTTCATCCCTTCCCTCTTCAGATAACATTTCAATCCCTAATCCCCCTTCGATCCCTAATTTCTTTCTCTCCTCTCCCAATTTCTGCTGTTGCTTCCCCTATTTTCTTCTTCGATCTTTCCCCAAATTAAGACCTTCTAACCCTAGCTCCCATTCTATCGTGACATAAAGCTCCAGTTGAATCGGTCAAAAGCCTTCTCTAAGTCGACTTTAATCACCATCCATCCTTGCTTGGTTTTTTAAACGTAAGAATGGACAATTTCCTGATTAAGAATGATGTTTTCAGTAATTGATCGACCGGAAAAAAAGCTTGTCTGAGCTGGGTGAATAAGACAAGGCATGATGGCCTTAAGACGTCTGACAATAACTTTAGTAATAAGCTTATACAAGACCAAGCATAAGCCGATAGGCTGAAAATCAAACGTTGTTTGCGGGCAACCCACCTTTGGAACTAAGGTTATGTCATTCGTTTTAGAGGCTCTTTAATCAAGCCCCCACTAAATAAAAATTTGATCTTGCCACACTCATCAGTGCCAACAATGTGCCATTTTTTCTAGAAAAACTCAACATGGAGGCCATTAGGACCAGGGGCCTTAAGAGAAGTCATATCAAGGAGTGCAAGATGAATTTTTGCATCATCAGAGACGTCAAAAGGAGAGTCGCAATCCGATGTGTCAATGCCCGAAAAATAACCGGAAATAGGGAAAGGGATGTCGGAGGGAGAAGGATCCGCACAAAGCTTATGAAAGAAAGAGACCGCTTCATTTTGGAGCAAAGCCTCATCTTGGCACCATTCACCATTTCCAAGCTTTAAAGAGGAGATGCAATTCTTGGCCTCAAGGATCTTGGATTTTTTGTGAAAATATTTAGAATTTCTATCCCCATGAGTGATCCAATCAGCTCGAGGCTTTTTTTTTCCGTAGCAGTTCCTCCTAATTAAGAACAGTCTCGAGTTCAACTTGAAGGTTGAATTCCAAAGTTCGGAGAGTAGTCAAATGCCTGCGCTTAAGAGCCCTTTGCATCTCCCTGAGTCGTTCCATGATGGAGTGCTTTTTAGTGCCAATGTACCCAAACGTGTCTCTATTCCATGAAGCAGCAGCAGCTGTAAACTCAGACACAGTTTCAAAGAGACTAGAAGCTGGTTTTCAACTTTCATACACCAGTTTGTCAAAGTCTGCATGGGAGAGCCAGCCAGTGAAATAACGAAAAGGAGGAGAAGGCCGAGAAGCATATGTATGATCAATGCAAAGGAGGAGCGGCCTATGGTTAGATTGGACATGCAACAAATGATGGACAACAGCGGTGGGAAATTGCTCAGCTCAGTATGTGTTACAGAGGGCACGATCTAGACCAGCATAAACGTGGCCACGGTTCCAAGTATAGTTGGGTCCTTGGAAGCCGAGGTCCCGAAGACCATTGTCAAAAACAAAGCTCTGAAATGCGCCTGATGGGTCTGTGAATATGATGGTTTGACAATGTGTTGTCCCCGGAAAGAAAGGGGTTACTCTTCCACTTTCTTTACACTACAAATACACTCCCTTTTTATATTTCAGTTTTGACGTTTTGTTTACTTATTATATTCTGTGTCCATTTATTTGTACCGGAATCTATATGGTTGTTTATTAGTTAATCTCATCCATTAGTAGTAGTAAAGTTTTGTATAAAAAGTTTTGACTTGCCTCCTCTTAATTGTAAACAATTTTTGCCCTTTCTACTCTGTGTTCTTATTCGAATCGCCTTGTTCATTTGATGTATATCTTGCATTCTAAGGCAAGGCAATGCCATTAGTTTCAGATACTGACGAATGACTTGATGTTCCCAAGTTAACTGAGAACATATTTATTCAAAAGGAGAGATAACATAGTCACCCGAAAGTAGTTGAATGTTTTGCACCTATGAATTACATTACACTACACCATTATGTGCTATAGTTTCTTTGACATGATTATAATCCGAGATAATAACATATCTACAAAGAAAAGTTATATGATACATAAATTAAATTATGTGTTGATACAAGTTTATCTATCTTAATGACTAGGGTCTTATTTAGGGTTTATAAATTTACGGGTTTACAATTTGATGTTTACGGTGTGTTAGGGATTTAGATTTCAACTATTCGTATATGAATTTCATGTTTACCATGGGTCACACTTGAACAGTGTGCAAGCAAATTTTCTTATAAAATTAAATTTGAGAATCATTGACTATTGTTAAGCAGCATGTAAATTAAGAGCTTGTCCTTTTTTTTCAATTTTCAGACTGATTGAGAAGGTGGCTACTTTCCTCTTACTCTTAACTTCAGCGAGGAGTACCCTAGGAAACCACCAAAATGCAGGTTCCGAATGGTTTCTTCCACCCTAATGTTTATCCTTCAGGAATTGTGTGTCTGTCTATCCTCAACGAGCGCCATGTAAGTACTTTCACCCCAACATTTGAATGATGCTAATTCATTATTATAAAGCAAAAGTAAACCCTGTTTTTTTTTCTCCCAAGGGGTGGAGACCATCCATTACAGTGAAGCAAATACTAGTGGGCATTCAAGATTTACTTGATCAACCCAATGCAAGCGACCATGCACAAACAGAGGGATATCAGCTTTATGTATCAGTAAATTGCATTACTCTGTAGCCGCTAAATACTAAATAATAGCCTTTTTTATGGTTTTATTTTTCTTGGCTAATACAGAACTTAAATGAGTACCGGAAAAGAGTTCAACGGCAAACCCTGGAATATCCACATGAACTGTAGTCACTAGAAATTATGGAACTATTATATTATATATGTCATTTGGCCTTTTTACTAAATCAAACCTCCTCCAAAGATGTATGAAATTTTAGTCGAGTAAACAAGGTCCGTCGCAAGGATGCCTTTGTCCTGGAATGCTACCAACAAGCTGTTGCTCTCGTCAACTTCTGGGAGTTCAAATCTTAGGAAACATGCTTGCTGGAGGGTTACTTTCAGTACTCTTGTCCGGTGATGATTAATATCAGGTTTTAGGGGGGACGAGACATGGAGACATCTTGAGTTACACCCACAAAAATTATATTAAACGTGGTTTGCACTGTTTATATGATATTAATTAGAGTTGCTTATAAATCAGATCAAATTAGATTTAACATATTAAATATTATAAGAATAGAAAACGAATCGAGTTAGGCTAAAATCTTGAATGTTGGAATTCAAATCTCATTTATATTTTAAATGGATATATTTTTAACTCAATTTATTTTTTGAATTTAATATTTTTATTTAAATTCTACTAAGTCTTTTTAAAAAAAAAAACTTCTAAACTGAATAAATAATTTAATCTTTGAACGTGTCTTACATTGATGGTAACCGATACCTAATCCGAGCTAGAAAGTATTTGAGAGAGATGATAATCCAGTATTATTAATAAATCATCTCATAATAATTTAATCATCTCATGAAATAGATGACTATAGATTCTTCAATAATTTTAATATTTTATTTTAAAAAAAGTTTCATTCTTTAAGTCGACTATTCCAACATAAAGTTTGTTGCGAGTGTTGGTACATAAAATCTAGAAGAGAACACCAAAGTAGACATGTAATTTTGTTTAATGTAATGGTTCAACATTTTTGGGCGGCGTAAAGTCTGAATTGTTAAAATATTGAGTTGCCAAAATCCTCATCCATGGCTGCCTTATACATCATTTTCAAACAATGATATAGGATGAATGGCGAGGTTTGACACGCTCTCAAGCAACATTAGTTGTGGGTATTTTTTTAATGTGCAGCCTTTTCGCTTGACATGTTGATATTTGATGATTCCATGGCTTGGTGTGAAAAATCTCTTCTGAGTTTGCTGCTCATGATCAGCCACTAATGCATCTTTGAACAGGGATTAAGACGTATATCTTTAAAGTTTAGAGATTTAAGACGTAATTCAGTCTTTCCAAGCCAAAACGTGCACATCATGTCATATTAGGAGTTTTGAGAATACAAAAATGTATGGAGAAACGATTCCAAAATGAAAAAGGAAAAAGAACAAAGTTATTGATTCTATACAACTGTAAATTACACAACATTGAGAAACCAAAGTATACATGGCAAAAGCCAAAATGTCAGTGAACTTTGTAAAAGTTTTATGGAAATATTTTCAGCACCCAACTCCTCACAAAACCTGTTCCTGTCTGTGTATTTCTAAATATTGCAGAGGTTCCAAGTAAAATATATCAACCTTCTATGGAAACTCAAGTGCATCATGGCCATCGATGCCAGTCTCACATGAAACACTTCATTCAATGCCAAAACCGGACACTCATTGCAGAAATAAAATTGTCCGCATTGAAGCTACAAAACTGAGTTGGGGGATCTTCCGTTACCATCCAGTATGATTTCAAATAAATCAGCCTCGGATTCCTCATCGAAATCCACCGTCGGATAATTACTCCCGTTGTTGTGACTGCCTTTGGTTGTGCATCTGTTAAGCCATTGGGAGTCGATTCTTCCCATTGAAAAAAGCTCTTTGCTGTCTTCATAGCCCAGAGCAGCCGCAGGGGAGTTCACAAGAGGGCCAATGAAACATGGATTTGGCGTCCGTTGTCCATTTGCCGGTGCATATGCAAAGGCACTTTGTCCAAAATTAACTAGAACCGATACATCATCGTTTGCTGCAAGAGTTGGATAAAGGGGAGTTCCAAAATCCTCAGACTTGCAATGTATTACACGTACCAGCTCCGAATCTAATGTGAAGAACACTTTCTTTTGCCTGGGATCGAACCCGCAACCTATCACCTTCTTGTTTTCCCCCACTCTTCTTTCTCGGATTCAAACACTAGTTTAATCCCTGGAAAATGAGAAACAAATGCTTATCAAAACTCAAGAGAATTAAAACAACACGAAACAAACAAGAGGAAAGAAGATGGATAAAGGAGTGAGTGACATATGACTAACAAAGTTGAACTGCTTAGCCTAAAGTTTTATAATTACAGATCATACAACAATAACAATAAATTAGAGGGAAATGCTGCATATTTTTTGGGTCAGTAGCTTACACCGACCCAAATACAGTGAAGGGTGGCCATATTAACTTATAATTCATTCATGACCCTGTGGCAGTGGGCCTTTTCTCAACCACTTCAGGGTCAGGCTAATTTGAGGACCTTTTAGTTGAGAGATTTGTTCCGTTCACTGGTGGACGGTTGCCACCTTTTTTTTATTGCTTAACACAAGTAGAGTCTAGCTTCTGAACTACTATTTTATCTGTAAATTGAGTGTGTTTAATCTCCATAAACATAAAAAAAAAAAAATAGGTTTCTCATGTAGGAAAAAATGTCTATATTCATGAAAATTAATTACCATCGAGATAGACAGAACCATCGGAATTGAAACCAATGGATCCTGGATAGCTACCAGGAAGCTTCAAAGGAAGAGAGCCTCCTGCAGTCAGTCCCACCGATAACCCTTACTGCTTCACCTTTTCCTTCATCTCTAATTGCAAGCTTTAATTCCTCGATCGTATTAATATCATGACTACTGATAGCATGGACCAAAGATTCTGAACTTGCTTTCGGATTTGAATTTTCTTTGATGAGTTTTATCTTCTCGCCTTCTCTTAGCTTGCCGCTTGGACTTGAATCATGATCATCTCGGCGGCAATACAAAATCGTGATCTCGAAATAGGCCTCCTGAGGGAAAGCTGAGTTTCCCAAAGGAGGCCCTGGCAAGGGCAGAGCTGTTCTGATAACAGATGCTGCCTCCATGGAATGATGGCCTAGACTCCCTTTCTTTGACCCAGAGTTGAGCCTGATCTTTTGCATGAAATCTGCTGATCCTTGGCAAACTTCCCAGTTCACCTCTACATCGTTTCCTCTTCCAAAATCACCAGCCGCACATAATCCTAACAGGCTCGATCGTGTAGAAGGAGACGACATGTAATTCGTGAAGCCAAATCGAGACCATCCATTCTCAACTGCATCGGTGACGAGAGATGGATGTTCAGCCCAATTAAACAAAGGTTTTTCAGAAACCCCGCGTCGAAAAACATAGTAATTCCCTCTTCTTTTGCTATGTAAATCAATCTGATGATGATGCAGACTCGCCTGGTTTAGTCTAGCAATCCCGTCTTGAAAATTTTCAGTCCCAACGGCTCTGTTGTCGTCAACAATATCTTTTCGGTAACACCAGCGACGTACAAACACAAGCAAAAGGATCAAAAGGATAACGACGACCACCGCTGCTACGCCACGAGTCCATTCAGGCATCGCTCTTCTAGTATTTTCTCGACCTATATAAATTTTCAAATACAAATAAAAAGTTGATCTTTTTCCCTGAAAATGTATCAGGGGAGAAAAGGGCTACGATTGATAAAGAGTTAGAAAGGTCAAGGGAAAGTGGACCAAGACTGGATCAAGAAAGGCAGGAGCGATGGTGGTGTAAGCAAATATGGTAAAATAGTAAAGGAGGGGTACCATTTCGTGGGGGATTTGGGCAATTAACGTTTTTTTCTTCTTTATTTATGGTCCATTCTTTAATTAATGTGAACCGACAATCGTTAGCGTTTATTAATTCATTTCCCTTTTATCTTCTGGGTTTTCAAAGGAGAGAGAAAGAGGAGATGATGCCTACTTATTGCTTGTTTGTGAAAATGCAATCCCTTCTAGAAAACCAAGAATTACAAGTCTGGTCATCGGGGGAACCTTCATTTAAACATTTGGGAGTCGAGCAAAGGCCAAAGCAGGGGAGACTGTGCATGAAAAAGTTCTAAGAAAAGTGACCACGAAATAAGGAACAAGGGTTTTTATTGTTCTGCGTGCTGGTAGTTTCACAGTCAATTTCATGTAAAAAATACTATATGATTTTGGGATCTATTTGCACATTAAAAATTTGTCTCTGGCCCTGGAAAAACAAAAGGCTATTCCCATGGCGGGGACGCTGGATTCTTGTATTGGATTTAATGTTTGAGGTTGAGGGTGGGGATTTGTTTTAGGTCTATGTAGGAGTAGGACCCTGTATCTGTTTAATTATTGGTATTAAGAGCAAGCAATATTGGAAATAATGTGATTGTTTAAAGGGAGTTCCGATTGTGTATGCTTTCGCTGTCAAATTATAAATGTTTAATTTTGGAAGTAGTGGGAGGCCTCTCATTTTCCTGCAAACCCATTAAAACGCAACTGTTTCTATTTCCTTCTGAAGAAAATGAAAAACAACAAATGAGAAATATATGTTGACCTTTTTATAGTTATCCTATTTAAATGAGCGAAAACAGTATTTTTATTTAATTTATGTCATCCATGTTAGTCATCCATTAACCAAACACAAAGGTCGTTCATAATAGATCTCATACTAGGGATGGGCATTAGTCGAGTCGGGTCGGGTTGAGTTTTTAGTCCACCCGACGACCCGAGAACAAGAGAGCATCCACCCGAGACCTGATCCGACCAAAATAAGGTTTCACCCGACCCGAATATATGACATAGAAACTCGACCCGAAATAATAAAAAACATATTTTTATTTAATAAAAACAGTGATTTAATTGAAAAAATTATATATAGAGGGGTATTATTATAATTATCCTAATATATGTGGTAAAATTATATATTTTTCCCGGGTCGGGTCGGATTTTTTCACCCTAAACTCGACCCGAACCCGATTTTTTTAGAAAAACCCGACCCGATCGGGTCGGGTTCGGGTCACATGTCCATCCCTATCTCAAACCACCAACATCACAAGTAGGAATGGGATGGGATTCTGTCTTAACAGCTTTCGATCCAATTTAATTTTATAAAATTTTATTTTTATTTTTGAAAAAATAAAAAAATTTGAGTCGTTATAATTT